CCACATCACGGACCCTGAGATCCGGCATGTCCGGTGATGTGCACTGGACAGCTAGTCCCGGCTCAGAGCTGTTAGGACCCAGGATCAGCTAGGGGTCGCCGTGGGAACTCGGCTGCTGGCGGGGGCCAGGCAGGGCCGAGGGCAGCGGATGGTGAATCAGCCAGGAGGAGGCCAAAGCATGAAGCTTGGCATTCCCAGGGCATGTGTCACCAAGGAGCCGACGGTACTGGCTTATTCAGGAGCCAGGCCTGCCAGGCAGCAGGAGCAGGCCAAGGACCGAGGGCTGGAGCCCTAAACAAGGGGGCCTTAACTCCACCCAGTGGGGCTGAGTCATGGGGCCTCCTGCCCACCCACACGCCGTCACCTGACAGCCCCTCCAGCTGGCAGGGCTCACACGGACATAGCCCAGTGAGGCTCTCCAAAGTGTCCCGCCCCTGCCGTGTCCCAGGCATCCCCAGCTGCCCCTGCTTGGCTATACCCTTTGCAGCGTCCAGGCAGGGGTGTGGCTTGAGATCCCTTTCTGGACTCCTACCCGGAACAGCCTGTGCAATTGCCTACCATCCCACCACCGCCACCCCTGCAGGAAGGAGTCCCTCCCAAGAGCTCTGCAGAGAGGAGGCCCCGATGCCACTCCCACCCTCACAAGCACACACTGGGTCAGCAAGTCCAAGTCTGCACAGCACAGCTGGCAGGGCAGGGACTGGCAGTCGGGGGGAGGGCGGTGGCTGCAAATAACTCTGTGGGCCTCTGGTAGGTGCGGGGATGGGGGATCACCGCCTCCCGCCCCAGCCCCTCCCTACCCCCTGCCTCCTGGGCCCGGCTCCATGTTTCCATTTTAGAAAGTGCTTCTGACTATTAAATATTTATCCGAGCAAGGAAGTCCTTGGCTCCCGGCCAGGCTATGGCTTCCAAAAAAAGAAAAATAAAGGGAAATCTGGAGGCTCAGACTGAGTGCAGGTGGGGCCTGGTGGAGACACCCTCGAAGCTCACAGCGTGGCCAGGGATCCCATCACCCTTAGAGGGGATGGAGAGGAGCAGAGGGGCATGGCCCGTCCTCCCTGTGTGTCCAGTTAAGACTCCGCTAAGCTCCCTCCAGGCTACCTGGCCTCCATAGCCCCCATGGAGCAGCTTCCTTCCTGCCAAAACTGCCCTAAGACCTATGGGGCTGCCCGGTGCCCTCAGGACAAAGCCATCCCTCCAGCAGCTGGCGCTGCCACCTCTCCATCCTCACCCCACCCGTCCCAGATGCACTGGGTTGAACACCTTGCAGGTCCCTGCCTTCGCCCTCAGCCTCTGCAAGCTCCTCCTGCTCTGCCTCCGCTTCTTTTTCATGACCAGTCCCAGTCTCCATTTGGGCCAGTTTTCCTCCAGGGAGCCCTCTCTGGCCCTTCTGTACCCCCTGCGGCTGCACTGGCCACAAAAATAGGGTTCACGTTTGTTGAATGAGCAATGGGTGGATCCTTGCTCTGCTGAGGTATGACCTCCCAGGTCCCAGGGCTCCCGGGGTGGCTTCGAGACCCAGAAGGATGGGTGAACAGGCAGCCAGCCAGACGGGAAGCACTCCCACAGTTCACACCAGCCCTGAGCGCAGGGTGGGCCTCTGCCAGCCAGAAGACCAAGCTGGGAGAATGTGTCATTCTACTCCTGAAGTGGGTGGCAGGGACCCCCAGATGGCAGTGCCCCCCACTTGCTGGGGTTTGGGGGCCTTTCCTCCCCAGCACCTATACTTCTCCACGCCTGGCCAAGCCAGCCCCCAGCTGAGCCTGAAACACAGAGGCTTTCAGCATAGGTGTCACAAGAGAAGGACACAGAGGGGGCCAGAGTCTAAGGGAGAGCTGGGAGTGAGCCCAGCAACCCAGGGGGCTTCCCAGAAGAGGCAGCTCCTAGCCCAGCCCAGGACAGAAGAGCTTGGCCAAATGGAGAGAAGGCAATGAGGGCATTCCTGCTGTAGGCCCAGCCACGATGAGCCCAGATGGGAGTGGGCACTCAGCTTCCTGGGCATGGAGAAGGCCAGGAGGGAGGGGGCTCCCGGGGCATTGGAACTGGAGGCTCTGCGGGCTTGACCCTCCTGTCTACTTCTGAGCCCCACCCCCTTCCCTGAGCTGCATCAGGTGGGCACTCCTGAGGTTTGGGGCAGGAGCCAGAGGCCAGCAGGCAGCCCAGCCTCCCTCCCTGGTGGTTCAGCTTCCATTTCCCCACCAGGGAAAGCGCTGGGGTTGTTAGGAACACACTTACAACATCACTGTTGGTGGCTTCTGAGAGGCCACCTCATTGGAGGGCACTCCAGGATGCCCTCTGCTGCCTCCTCCTCAGGGCCCATTCCTGCCACTAGCGGCCACAGAGGGGCTCCTTTGCCTGCAGTCACCCTGCCTGGTGGGGCAGGGCAGAGCCAGTACCTGTCAGAACAGCATGTCACTGACCAAAGCATGCGATATTCTGCTCTGGCCCCTAAAAGCCCAGGGAGTCAGTCACTGCCTCACGGTCCCCAGCCTCAGTGTCCCTGTCTGCAGAATGGGAATACAGCCCTCCCTCAGTGTGGACGACCCAGTCAGGGAGACACTAGGGTGGTGACAGGCCCGCCCGCACTGTCACTTGGCATCCCTGGCTGCATGGCGCTAGCAGCACAGGCAGCTGCGATCACTCCCGTCTCCGAATGTGAGGTCCTGACCCACATTTGCAGCCCAAGGCCCTGAAGAAGGCACCAGCAAGGCACAGAACAGGCAGACCACCTCCACAGCTGCCCTGCTTTGCACCCTTCTTGGGAAAGGGCCCAGCCATCTCATGACCCCCATCCCAGAGGAGAGACCACCCACACATCTTCGCATGATGTCACTGCACCTGGGGCCTTCCCAACACGGTGGTGCTTTCTTGGGTTGTCATTGTGGGAGGTGCTGAGGCCAAGCCAGGGGCAGCAGGTGTAGGGTGGGGGCCAGGGCCGGGGAGGGGTTCCCTGTCTCCCCAGCTATCGGGGATCCAGCTCTGCCCCTGGGAAGGAGGCAACCCGCCCCTGGAGTAGGCAAGGGTGTGACACCCAGAGCCCGCTGGGAGTGAACGGGCTGGTGTTACAGTTGGCAGCGCTGCGTGGGGTGTTCCCAGCAAGGCCACCAGGGGGCAGCCTCGGCACAAAAGCTGCCCAGGAGATGGCTCCCTGCTGGGCTGGTGCCTGGTGCGGCTGGCAGAGGGCAGGTTTGAACTGGACAGGAAGACTAGAGCAGGGGAGAGTCCGCCCATCTCCAGCCTGCTGAGAGGGGACTGCTGGTGAAAAAGGCCTGGACCAAATCCAGGCTGGGAAAGGCAGTAGGTGGCAGGGTGCTTGTCAGGAATGCACATTCCCAGGCCGCAGGGTTGGGGAGGGTCTGGGAACTGGCGTGCTGGACAGAACTCCCAAGGGCTCTGATTTTGTAAGTCTCCTACCAAAGCTCCAGTGAGAGCCACTGACCTTATTCCCTAAGAGCAGATGGTTCTGGAGGCTGGACGCAGGGAGGGACTGCCTCAGACAGGCTGGGAACCACAAAGCCAGCACAGGCCTCTGTGGAGGCAGGGGGTGGATGAGGTGGTCCTGGACCCTGCAACTTGGGAGTCTCTGGGTGCCCCTGAGCGAGGAGGAAGTGGAGAGGAAAGGCTGTGCAGGGAAGCTGGGGGCAGGGTAGTGGTCCCATGCCTTGGGGCCCCGCCCTTCTCCCTCTGAGGAGGTCAACCTGCAGCCATGTGGGCAGGGCCAGTCATAGTGAAAGAGGAGGGGGCCGGGGGCCTCCAGCCCACCGGGGGCATCACCCTCCCGCTGCTGAGCCCAGACACCTTGGACTCCCTTCTGCAACACCGTGAAGCAGGCGCTGTAGGGGTCTCCCTGCTCTGGAGTCCCTCAGACAAGTCTCCCACCCTAAGTGCGCACCAGATAAACAGACCACAGGAGGGGCCTTGGTAGTGCCTGCTGCGGCTGGGGGGCATGCCCAGGCCAAGGGCACCCCTCTGCGCCTGCAGCGTGGCACCATTAGCATTGACCTGTTTTCCCCAAGGAGTGGGGTCCAGCCCGTGCCAGTGCTGGCACAGCCCAACCCCCTGGCCGGTGGCTGCCAAGGCCCTGGGTGTGGTCAGGCTGCAGCAGCATAGACCTAGCCCAAGGGACTGCCCCCCCACCCCAGCCCTGCCCTCCAAGATGCTGAGACACCCAGGCCCTGGAACCAGGCCCAGTGCAGGGACAGACACACAAAAAGCAGCAGGTACACATTCCGTAGCCTGCGGCTCAGAGGGAGGCTACTGACCATCCCTGGGGGCATGCCAGTGGGTAGCACCCACTTTCCCTTGCCCAGCACTGAGGGACCCTGTGGCCTGACTTTGACCCCATTCAGGCCCCTCACAAGGCCCCAGACCTCAGGCCTAGCGCTGCCACAGCCTCCACTTACCCAGCGACCCCACCACACAGCCACACAGTAGACGCTGCCCAACCCTGCCTAGAAGCCCCGGACCAAAGTGGATAGCCCAGACTCCCGGACCAGCCTGGCTGCTCTCCCCCAAAGCAGGTGAGAGGGCAAGCCTGGTGCAGGTGCCCCGTGTCCCGGCGGCCCCGGCTTTCATGCCCCATGCAGACACCAGCCCCGCTCCAGAGCGCGGTAGCACCTCCCAGGAGGCCGCCTCTCGACCAGACAGTGTCCCAGCAGCGGGGCAGGAGCGAAAAGGAGAGACAGACAGGGACCGCGAGTGACAGAGGGAGTGCGCGACAGAGACGAGTCAGCCACCGAGAAACAAAGTGAGCGGCTGAGACAGCCCCAGAGGCCGGGAGAGGAGCAGGGACCGAAAGTCGTGGACAGGTAGAACGCGAGGCACGGGAGAAGAGACCCCAGCGGCCGGGGAGGCCCAGAACAGCGCGCGAGTCCAGCCGGCATCCCCGAGTCCCCCGCCCCCACAGCCCGCACTGCGCGTCCCCGGACACGCCCCGGCGCGCGCCCTCGCGCGGAGCCCACCCGCCCCACGGGAGCTGGCTGCAGGCGGGGAGGGCGCACCGCTGCCGGGGGTTCCGGGCCAGGTAGGCAGCACCATGTGGAAGCAGTCGCACATCGCGGCGGCCAGGCGGTGCGGGCCTGCCGGCCCGTCGCGTCCAGTCGCTGGTCCCAGCTCCGGCGCACCGGGCGGGCGGGCGGGAGCCGCACTCTGCCCCGCTGCTCTGCGCTGCCGCGGGCGGCCGACCTCAGACTGCGGACACCGCGCGCCAGGCTACCCAGCCGCACAGCTAGGACCCCGCCCGGGTCCGCCCAGCCCGGCCGGGCCACTGCGGAGCGCGCTTGCGGGCGGTGCCGCCGGCCTCATTCAGCCCATTGGCTGCCGCCGCCGCGGCCCCGCCCCTCCCGGCCAGGCCCCGCCCCGCTCCGCGCCCCCGGCCCGCCTGTCGCGTCCGCAGAATTAACTTTGGATTCCCGCCAGGGAGCGACCTCAGGATCCCCGCACCTAGGCTCCTGGACTTGCCGCTGTCTTCACCTCCCACTCCGGGGGAGACAGACACTTTAGTCACAAGCTGGGTGGGGGGCAGCCTGCGGGGACAACAGTGGTCGCGGGCACCCCAGGAAGTGATCCGGCAGCAGAAGGACAAGACAGAATTCTTCAGGGGCTGGGGGTGGCCGACACGAGAACGCGGCTGAGAGCGTGCAGCGGGAACAGGGCGCCACGGACAGGGCTGCGGGGTGGGCGCTGCGTGCGGGAGCACCCAGCGCTGGGGGGCCGTCCTGGAGCCAGAACCCCGCCCAGAGTCATCCTTTCTACTGATTCTTGTCAAGAGCCTAGGGCCTAGGACACAGCGGCAACCAGCACCCTACTGGCCCTGCCCCAGGGGCTCCAGGTCTGGTGTAGACACAGGCAAGACTGCAAGGATAAGGCGTTCTGCAGGGCGGGACTGCCCTGGGGGCGGGGGAACGGGGGTCCTGGAAGGCTCCTGGCAGTGTTAGCTGTGACCTTAGGGGTGAGGTATGAGCCAGGCAGTGTAGGAAGAATGTTCTGGAGAGAGGGAACAGAGTACTGTGTGTGCAGAGAATGGGGGCAAAAGGGCTGGTGTTGAAAGTCAGGCCCAGTGGGCTGGGGCAGGGCAGCAAGGCTGCTGAGGGGGCTCCTGTGGGTAGGAGGTGCCACCTAAGGCTCCAAGCAGGGTCTCTGAGCTTGATGAGAGCTGAGGATAGACTGCACAGGTGGCTAGGGGTGTTGGCATGGGGCACAACTGGAAATACGAGCAGTGGAACCAGGGCTGTGGTGTGGGAGGGAGTGAAAGGATCCCGGGATACTCAGGCAGAGCGGACTTGGTGAGGACAGAGTGCAGAGGGTGGGAGCCTTCCTGGGATCGAGCTTGGGCACCACACAGAGGCAGCACACCTGTGGTGTGGACAGGGAGGGCAGGGGCCCAAGGCAGTTCTAAGAGTTTGGTGACACCCGGCCTGGTGTAGACCTGAGCTGGGCACACACCGGAAGGAGTGGAGTTCTGCAGGGATTATGGGGGGAGGCAGGGCTAGAAGAGACCCAGGAGAGGACCACCACCACCAAGGAGTTGCTGCCTGGCAATGTCCACAGGTGTGGGTCAGATGCGGGGACACACACACACACACGGACACACATACAGATACACACACACATAAAGACAGAGACACACACGGACAGAGACACAGACACACAGATCCATACACAGGTACACACACAGACACACTCAGACACAGACACACAGACACATACACAGAGACACACACAAACACACATGCTGTCTCCGTCACACACACACACACACACACACACACACACACCTTTTCCCGGGGTGGGAAGAGGCCAGGCTGTACCGGAAGGGCCAGGCAGGCAACACACTCATAGACAAGATCACAGACTCACCAAGACACAGACACAGGCCACCTGGGATATTGGATACACTCAGAGACAGCCTCATACACACTCAGGCCTGCACGCATGAACACCCACACCAGGACACAGATCCACGCACGTGCACACATACACACAGGGCACACACATTCCTGGGCTCATTCGGAGACCACGCACAGCCAGCGGGCCCAGGTGAGCCACCAGGGCGCGATGACTCACTCTAGACAGTTCCCGTTAGCCTCGCTGCAGCCACTGGGCAGCCATCCAGCAGCAGGTCAGACGGACGCCAGAGCCACTGCCGGGAAGAGGCCCTGGCAGCCTCCTCATGAGGCCAGGCATGGGGGGCACAATCTTCCCCCTCATGTGTGGACCTGGCGTGGGTCTTACCCCCACTCCTCGAAGTGTCCTTCTTTCAGGGCTGAGCATTGTTGCCTGGGGTCCAGAGGCCCTGAACTTACCTCCCTCCCCAGGGACCCACCCCGCTCTGCTCACCCGGTGTCAGTCACTCCCTGGGCACAGGGAGAGAGCCACTAGGGTGCCTGGGTGCGTACACCTCTGTGTGTGTCCCTGACTGCATCTATGCCTCTGCCTGGTCTGCTGGGGGCTTGGCCTGCCAGTCCTCTGTGTCTGAGTTTGACTGCAGGGCCTGGGAATGAGGGGCAGCTCAGGGCACTCGTCCACCTTTGTGTCTTCAGCCCCATTAGGTGTGTGCCTTTGACGAGGTCCTGTGGCCCGCTGGGCCCCCATCCAATTGAACTGGCCCCTCTCCTGATTGTCTGGCGTGATCTGCACAGGGCTATGGGGACTCCCCTCAGCTTTGCGGGACGGGTGAGGATGGAGCCCTTGGTGGGGAGGCCAGGGCTGCCCCCGACATGTCCCCGTCCCTGGGCTACTACCTGCTGCCCCTGCCTCTGTTTTCCTTCAGCAAGACGAGAGAGCCCTCCAGGCCATCTTGGTGGGGACCAAGTGACAGCACAAGTTCAGCGGGGCGTCACGGGAGTGTGGGGACCCCACACTCGGGAGGACTTTGCCCTGGTCCTGCCCCTCAGCCTGGGGTGGCAGAGACCTTTACCTAGCTGTGAACACTGGGCCTGCCCACCCCTGGCTAAGAAATGATCCCAGAGCCAATCACAGCTTCCTGGGTCCAGGAACTTCGCCTCCGCCCTGCATGGGGCTGCCCACTTCCAAGGTGGGCACAGACACACACGTGCCGCTGGGCCGTGCTCCCCTGTGGCCCCAGAATTCAGGAGGGGGTCTGGAATTCAGAATTCAGGGCCCAGAATTCAGGATGGGGTCTGGGCAGGGCCTGCTCCACCCGGAGGCCGTTCCTCCCTTCTCCTGCCCACTCTGAGACAGAGGGTTGGTGACTCTCGGCAGTGGCCTCTGGCTCTGCCCCGCCCTGGGTGCTGGGGCTGCAGTCTGGCTGTGACTGTCAGGGGAGCTGGGGACTGCCCCTCCCACCCTCCTTCTGGGGGTCTTCTCCTAGCTTGAGGGTTAAGCTGAGAGTGTCCTGAGTAAGACACCTTGGGGTGTCTGTCCAGAGAGCTTCCCCACCTCAGGGAACTTGGGGTCCTGAGGGCTCTATCTCACTCCAGATGCCTCTGGGAGGGCCTGCAACTTGGGCAGTGTATCCCCACAAACGGGCAGGCTGCGGCTATGTGTGGCTGGGGACTGGCTCCCCAGGGGCCAGCCAGAATCCCTCCACCCACACACCAGGGCCTCAGCCGCTGAAATGGGGCTCCAGGGTCACAGCTGTGGGAGCATGGGAGAAGGTGAGAGGGGCTACCAGCCCCCATCCCAGTCCTTCCCCACCAGCTGAAGCCTGCGCTCCTGTCAGCACACCCAGCTCCAGTCTCCTCCCCATGTGCTCCTCTGGGGACAGACGCCTGGCTAGGGAGGACCACAGAAGTGGGCCTGGACTCAGGAATTCATGCCCCCACCCACAGCATCACCAGGCCCAAGCCCAACTCACAGCCGCCCCTGGCACATACAAGGCCCCACACCTGCTGCAGGCGCCACCCCGGGGAGAAGGCGTCCCATTCACGCAGCCTCCACCTCTTCCCTGGACCACCGAGATGGGGACACCGGCCCAGCCCACTGGTTGCCCACAGCCTTCCTGAGGCTGGGTGCCAGGGCCTGGGGCGTAAGCCCTGGTGGGGCCTGGGTGAGAAACTGAGGCTCCCCAGGCCCTGATGCATCAGCAGAGCCGCTGCCCTGCCCCCATGGCCTGACTGGCACTGCTCGCCTCCACCCTCCACAGGCAGGGATGCCCACAGCATCAATGATTGATGCTTGCTGCGGCAGCTGCAGCAACATAAGCAAAAATAGCTCTGCTGTGGTCCCTGCCCTGCCCCAGCCCCAGCCTTGCATCCAGCCCAGCCCCGTGCCCAGATGGAGGGGTGTGAGGTGAGGTGGGAGCATCTAGGACTGTCTCAGCTGCTGCCTGCCCCTGCTCAGTCTTTTACATGGAGATGATAGGGAAGGACCCCCGTGACCAGGTGGGGGACACTTGTCCACCCAGCCTCCTACTCTTGCCTGACCACACGACTCCTGACCTCTAACCGCCTCCCTCTCCCCCAAAGCTGGGTGCCCGTTTCAGGCCTGGGTATGTCCCCAGGTCCACTTCCCCTGCACCCACAGCTGGGATCAGGAAATGTGGCAGTGGTGGGGCATGTCGGGGTGCTGCTATCGTTCCACTCGGGTGGTTTTCTTTCAACCCCCGTGTCTTTATCGGGCCCTCTGGCTCAGCAGTCCGTGTGTGCTAGCCTGGGATCTGAGCAGCAGCAGGTTCCCATGCTGCCGCCTGCAAGCCCTGCCATTGCTGCTGCCAGAGGCGAGGACACGCACACTTCCCAGCTTGCCCTAGGGACTTGGGGCTGAGGATCCCAGAAGACCGGGATGCCTGGGTGTTTCTGGGGACCCCTCCCCAGTCAGTCCTTGCTCATCAGGTGATGCTGGGAGATCCCAAGATGACTGTGGGGCTCTGTGACAGGTGGCACTTGCCCCAGGACCTAGGCTGGCCCCTTCCTCCTGAGACTAGGGTAGGAAAGCTGGCTCCTCTGCAGAAGGGAAGGTGCTCCCCACACACCCATTGAGCAGGGCTGGGGCTCAGGGTGGACTGAGGTGGCTGGAGAGGTCCTGGGAGGGCCACATGCGCTCCTCCTCCTGACCACACTCCACCTGCCCCTCCATGCCCCTCGGGAGTCATGGCTAATGTTTCCCCCACACCCGGACTTTAATGGGGACCCACCCTCTCTGGCCCAGTCTCCCCTATCGGCTGGGCCAGTTCAACTTGAGCAGTGGCTGCTCCGATCGCCAACCTGGAAGCCTTATCCTCAGCTCATGCCCTTCAGGCTGTGCCGTGAAGCAGGATGGTCTGCCCAGAAGCTGGCCCAAGAAGC